AAGGAGGGGGAGGCCTTCAACAAGATGGATTGAAACGGTGGCTGCGATGATGGGCTCAAGTATAGCAGGGATTGTGGGGCTGGCGCGCGATCGGGCAGTGTTTCATTCTGCTGTGCATGGGGTCGCTATGAGTCGGAAATGACTCGACGGCACTTAACAACAACAACAACAACATGCACTGATAATATCATAGGAACCTATTACAAATAATGAAGGAAGAATGAAAATTGTGAAAGTGTGCTTCATTGGTGGCCTTATACACTGTCTGAAGAGTATACCTTCTGTGGCATCTGCATAGTTCATTTGCACCAATGACTGACACAATTTAGTTTTTCCTACTATCATTTGAGGTCTGGTAGCATAGTGCCTAAGGCACCTGACTGCTAACTAGAAGGCTGACGGTTCCATCCCACCAGCCACTTCTCGGAAGGAAAATGGGGCAATCTACTTCCATAGTGATACAGCCTCAGAAACCCAAGGAGAGGTCGCTATGAGTCGGGTCCGATTCGAAGGCACATAACAACAACAACAACAAGCTGTGGAAATTCAAGCCACAGCACCATGTTAGCATTAGCTCTTGCATTCTTAGCCTTTCTTGGAGTCCTCACTGCCCCTGTTCACCAAGAATTTTCTTGACATCTCCTTTGATAAGGGTGGATTATTTTTTCTAGTTGTTCACTGAAATTTTAGACTTACACAAGGTTTTTGAAGTTGACTCGTCAATCTATGTGTTTCTGGGCTTTGTTGAATTGTTCAGTTGTTACATGTAGTTTTGAGCTAGAAGAGTTTGCCAGATACCCTTAGGGCACTGTGCAAAATAATTACTAAAGAAGGCAGATGTTTAGAAGGGCCTGCTTGCAGGGCTGGGCCTTATCTGGCATCTGGGATTTAGACTTTGGAGCATCTCCTATGGTGATTAAGTTGTTTTGTGGGCCTCGGGCACTGAATTCTGTTGTACCAGTTTGCCTAGATTGTTTTTATGAATATATATTTAAGACGGACACCTGCTTTTCTTCTAGAAGCCTGCAATCGCAGTAGTCATGATTGGCAGAGAGTGTGCCTATGTTAGCAAATAATAATAATAATAATTCCAGACCTGTTGCCATGTAATCTATTGCAACTCATGGTGATTCCATGTGTTACAAAGTGGAACTCTTCCTTTGGGTTTTTCTTTATGGAATCAAATTGCCAGGCCTTTCTTCTGTGATGCTGCTAGGTGGGTTTGAGCCATCTAAATTTAGGTTAGTATTTCAGCACAAATTGTACTACCTAAGGATGATCATATGTGAGCAGATTCCAAAGGAAACTCTGGTCTCTGAGTCATAAATATGGGAAAAAGAAATTTCATTCTGGAAGGAGGAGTGTTTTCTATGTAATCCTTCATGGTAGGAGAACAGGATTCCTGATTCCTTTGGAACCCACCTGATGTGTCTTTTTCCCTCACTGAAACTGTTTTGTATAATTTTGTTGCAATAAAAGTTATAATGTGGGTGATCATGTGACCCTGAAATACGCAGATACTGGTTTCATGACTCATCTCTCTGAATTCATACTTCTACTTCAATTATTACGTAAAGGCATTAGACTGTGTAATTATAAAAAATTATGGATAACTTTGCCAAGAATGAGAAATCCAGAACATGTAATTATTCTTATGTGGAACATGTACATAGAACAAGAAGCAGTCATTCAAATAGAACAAGGGGATACTGAATGGTTTAAAATCAGGAAAGGTGTGCATCAGGGTTCACTATATTTATTCAATTTGTATGCTGAGAAAATAATTTGAGAAGCTGAATATGAAGAACAATGTGGCATCAGGACTGAAGGAAGAGTCATTAATAAATTGCAATGTGTCGATGTCACTAACATGCTTGCTGAAAGTGAAGAAGACTTGAAGCACTTACTGATGAAAATCAGACTGCAGCTTTCAGTATGGATTACACCTCAACATAAATGAAACAAAAATCCTCACAACTAGGCCAGTAAGAAACATCAAAATAAGTGGATAAAAGATTGAAATTGTCAGGGATTTAATTTTCCTTGGATCCAAAATCAAAGTCCATGGACACACAGGAGTGCATAACTATGAGGGGCACGGGGGGGGGGAGGGTTTGCTGGGGAGGGAGGGGAGGAGACTGGGTTAGGGTTGGGGATGGTAATTGGGGAGTGAAATCAAATGTACATGAAATGTTGAATGTAAAACAAACTTTGCTCTGTAAACTTGCACCTAAAGCATACACACACACACATACACAAAAGTAAAGAAAAAAAATTAACGTCCATGAAAGCAGCAGTCAAGAAATCAAAAGACATATTACACTGGGCAAATCTGGTGCAAAAGATCTCTTAAGCAGAAAGATGTCACTTGGAAAACGAAGGTGGGCCTGAGGGAAGCTATCATATTTTCAATAGCCTCATATGCATGTGAAAGCTGGACAGCGAATAAGGAAGATAAAAGAGGAATTGATGCACTTGAATTGTGATGTTGGTGAAGAATACTGAAAATAGCATGGACTGCCAGAAGAACAAAACATCTGTCTTGGAACAAGTACAGCGGGAATGCTCCTTAGAAGTAAGAATGGCCAGACTTCATCTCACATACATTGGTCATGTTGTGAGATGGACAATTCCCTGGAGAAGGTTATCATGCTGCATAAAGTAGAAGGTAAACTAAAAAGGGGGAGACCCTGAATGAGACAGATTGACATAGTGATTGCAACAATGGCCCCAAGCATAGCAAGCATTGTGAAGATGGCACAGGACTGGACAGTGTTTCATTCTGTTGCACGTAGGGTTGCTATGAGTCAGAACTGACTTGAGAGAACATAACAATAACAAATATTTTGGACTTTCTCTCACTTTTTTGATAGTTTAGCCATACATTAAAATATATGTGATCCGTTAAGCTATTTCTTTTAGGGTTTCTATTTTCTATTGTTGGAAGCCCTATCTTAAAGAAAAAAAAGGTTTATGATTTCTTCTTGGTGTTATGTTATCTATTTCTTAGTATCTACAGACAGTCAAAATAACAAATATAATTTTCAGTTGTCAAAGATTCTCCCTCTGACACCTGAATGGCAAGGAATGCAACTCATAGGCTCAGCTGCCTCTGACCTTGGCAAGTAGGCATTTGCACCTACAATTCCAATGCAACCACAAAGTCAGTCTAATACCAGGGATAGCAACTTAATACACCAGTAGGAAGTTAGGAAACTGTGCGAGGAGCATCTTAATTTTGCTGTTGGCTTATTCTCTACTACTTCTTCCAACCAAGGGAACTTCTCTGGAATAACAAAACAAGAAGGTGGGAGTAATACTACAAGATATTTTATTATCCAACTTCTATTCAAGAAGGGTTGCAAATCCAGCAGATGTTGAAGGTGAGCAAAGAATGGGATGAAACCAGGCAACTGGATCATGAGGAAGGAAAATGGGTAAGTCAGATGCAGGGACAAGTACTCAGGCAGAAGTAGGGCTGCATTCCATCACCAACATATCCTTCTGGTCCCATTCCTAAGGAGGGCAGAGGTATGATAACCCTGATGGCGAGGAAAGGACAATTGCTCTATGGCAGGGCAGCTCTGGAGCCAGGCAGGGATAAACATCAGTCTCATGGCATCTGACACACAGTGTCCCAAAGGCCTGGCAGGGATCTTGACTTTCCAGAGACCACTTGGTATAAGACAGGGGCTCTTTGGGCTGGGTCACTTCTGGGGTGGCAACTGCAATATGCGACTCACAATAATATGTCCTTTCTTTCCCAAAATTTAATCTCAATTCTTGTGCTCTCTGGACAGCTATGTTACCCTGAATGTACACAGACACAGTTTTAGGACTTACCTCCACAGATAGGGGTTTTCTCCAGCAGTGCAAACACAGGCAGACTAGAGGAACCACAGGGGCTAGAGATGCCACCAGCAAGAGAATCCAGACACCCAGGAGCATGGTCTGGAAGCCTCTGTACAGGGCCTGTGGACAGAGAACAAAAGCCATAGGCACAGGGTGCCCATTACTATCTCTTCTCTGTCCTTATTCATTACTCACACATGCACATTCCACCCCTTTGTCCAGCATCTGTAGCTTCTAGAAGGACTTAGGAAGGGATCCCTCTGTGGAATCAACACAGCTCTGTAGTGCTCCCACAGGGCCTCTTGTTCTCATCTGTCAGTGATGGGCTGGCTGTGACTGGAGTCTGTGACAACCATAAGGGTTTGTGAGGATTGAGGAGAAGCAGTAATTACAAACCTACACTTCTCTTTCCCTGAACTTTGAAAACTTGCAGGATTTATTAATTTATTCTTAGTATTTTCCACTGGTCTGTAATGCCCCCAAAGCAGGTATCATTCCTGTTCATGTTGCATCTCTGGTCCCAGCGACCCAGGTAGGTGTTGAGTGGGTAGCAAACATTGTTGCTGGAGAGTCCAACTCTCCTCCTGGTGGCAACCCTTCTGGATCACTCACCACCAGCATGTCCATGTAAGAAAGGCACAGGTGAAGTCTCCTGGCTTCTTCTGGATTCAGTGTGCTGACTGGTGGGGTGGGCCAGCTCTGCTGGGAGGAACTGTCACAGATATAGTACCCATTATGGAAGGGGTCCCAGTAGAGCTCATTAGCTCCAATTCTAATGGCAGCAACAGCAGTGGAGAAAGCAGTCAAGGCCAGCAGGGTCCTCAGGAAGCCCTGTGGGGAGAGGAAAGCTGTCACTGTGATGATTTCATAGTTTCTCCTGGACTCTAGCTCAAGGAAGCAAATAGGCCATGTAGATCAGGCATTATGGGTCAGGTGTTTTGGGATGACCCCAGCTTGAGCGTCTTCCATGAACTTACCCAGAAGTTGCCATGCTTTTGCTCATGAAAAAAGGCAACAGTTCCAGCTAGCATAGCCTAGGAAGAAATTGAAGCAGGAGCAGGATGAGTACAGGATATGCAACTTCCTTATGTCACTGGCTTCTCTTCCCTTTCTGACTCCCCTGACAGCTGGTAACCTAGCAGGTCCAGCATGCTGCTTTGATAAGGGGTTGGGGTGTAGATAAATCCCTGAGGTGAGGCTGCTGGGCACTGCTATAGTGATGTTTAAATGTGCTTTTTATCATGGCTAACTCGAAGTCCCCCTTTGCCACTACATTGTTTTTAAGTAGTACCAGGTGCTTTCTGAAAGTTCAAAGGGGAGGATCTTGTGCATAGAACAAGGCCACCTAAATCTGTGAGGTAGGGTAGGAGCTTTAGGGACTTATCCTGGAGACTTCCCAGTGGCAAAAGAGTCTGGTGGAAGGAGGGAAGATGAGGTGTTATTTTCCGTGGATGGTAGTGGGAGGTAACAAGGTGATGGGAAAGCACTGGATGAAGATTGGGAGTTTGGCTACTGACAGGACATGTGGCTTCATCCCCCTTAGTTATTTCTCATCTGCAGAGAAGGGAATTGCCTTAATGATGTAAGGTCTTTTTGATTTCTAACATTCTACCATACAGTGTGGATAGTGATGGTGATGAAGTTGATGGTAATGATGACAGTATTCCTATTGTCTCTGATAGAAGGTCCTCCACCTGCCCCTTCTTGAGCCCCTGTCAGCCTTCCTTCCAGCTCAACTTACCAGTACCCCTGTCCAGATGGCAGCCCCTGAGCTCAGCAGATAGGAGTAGTTGCAGATGTAGAGGAATCCTCCCAAGACTCCACTCAAGATGCCCAGAAGAATCTGCATCACCTGAAGCATAGAAAGCCCATCTCCCAGAGTGTGGGTTTAAGGTCAGTCTCTGCCCCAGACCTCAGGGGAGCTTGAGGTCCTGACCACTCCAAGCATTAAATGTTCAAACCCCTGAGAACAAGCATGCATACCAGCCTAGTCTTAGGGAGGTTTGTGATGGAGTGTGGGGGCTCCACTGAGTGGGGTTATAAAAGGACAGTGCCTCCCATCCCTGCACCCCTTTATCCTACACCCAACTATACCCACAGCTTTGATTAAAAAGGTCAGCAAGTGAGAAAAAAAAAACAGAAGAGAGCACTGAGAACTTGATATTTAGTAGCAGGAAACCATGGTTTCAGTGTGCTAATTGGAGCAAAAGTGCCAGCAGAGAGGATCTGCCTTAGGCTTCATGTGAGGGCCACAGTTCCATGTGGAAGTTGGCTGTACTCACCCAGGATGCCACTAGCAGCTGGCTGATATTTGAGGCCTGGGTGGTGGTGCCCTTGAGGTGGGCCCAGGACCGCAGCTGGAGGCATGTTGCCAGTAGGAGCTTGGCCAGAGCAGACTCCTGGTGGATATGCACCTCAATGAGGGAGGGCTGGGGTACCACAGGGGCCAGCTCACTGCAATCTTTAGTCCCTGCACCAGTGGACATCCTGTATAGGAGGAGGAAGGAACATTAATGAGGACAAGGTGGCACAAGATAGTTTACATTTGCCAACATTTTATTGGTATTGGGGCAGACAGGCAGTGAGAGCAGAGACACTGTGGTAGGCCCCAGTTAGCAAACTGCAACCCAATCTCTTTAAGGGTGTCAGGATGGGGATAGTCTGCCTTTAAGCCTACTGAACTTTACCCTTTGCTCCATCTTTAGTGATCCCCCACATCTTCCCCCCACCCACCACTACATGGGAAGCTGAAGGTAGAGGTAACCTGTGAGGCAAGGTGGAGGTTTTGGGAACTAGTTTTGAAACTGTCTTTTCAGGGGTTCCTATGCAAGAGAGTGTCTGGGGAAAAGGGATAGGTAAACTGTGAGGGCCCTCCTCACCTGCTCTCCTCTGGGTCCTTGTGGCCTTGTGTGCAGAGTTAGGGCTGGGAGGAGCATGTGCTGGAGCTGAACCCAGACAGAGGGAGAAGGAAGTTGGCTGAGGGTTAGAAAAGAAAGGAGGGGCATGATGGATTTCAGCACTACAATTTCCCAGCAGAGAGCAGTGGAAAGGGGCCTCCGTTGGGTTTTCCAGCTGCTAGTGGATCAATCAGCTCTGGTCAGCTGGAGAGAGTGAGGGATAGGGAGGATGACCCTGGGGACACAGAGTTGAGGAACTCTAGGATACACTATGAGGCTGTCCTCTCGCCAACTCCTACGGAGGTCAATGTTTTCAGAACACTGAGTGTATGTGTTATATGAATGAATGTGTCTTGTCTGAGTGGGTGTGAGTGTGTGTGTGATCTGAATCAGTGTGTGTGTTGTCTGAAAGAATGTGAGTGTGTGTGTTGTCTGAATGTGTGAGTGGTGTCATCTGATTGGGTGGAGTGTGTGTACATTCTTACAAAGGTATCTCTGTCTTCTGCCAGCCTGATTATTTAATACTGAAAATCCCCAGAGGGGCCCTTTTTGCCCAGCTGTTTGCTGGGAAATTGTGATAGCGAAGCTCAGCCCCTTACACTCCCTTTTCATTTCTGACTCTCAGCCAGTTTCCTTCTTCTTCTATCTGGTTTCAGCTCCAGTGCAGGCTCCTCCTAGCTCTCACTTTGTTCACTCTGTTGCCTGGGCCCAGAGAAGAGCAGGTGAGGCAAGACCCCTACAGTCCAATTGGCCCCTTTCTTGGGAGAATCTTTAATGTAGAAGTCCCTCCCAGGGAAATTTCCAAGACCAATCCCCAAATCCCTAGTTCTAACTCCCAGATCTCTCTCAGGATTTACTTGAAGGGAAGGATTCACTAGACAGAATTGACTCTGGGAAAATGGCAGAGCAGGTAATCCTGGTCAACCTCAGCTGCTTTTTACTCCATGTGTCTAATGCCTTCCCCTAGTTCTGATTGGTGTAGGGATATTCTGGCTTTTAGTGTTGACCAAAGATTTAAAGTGCAGCTCTGCTGTGGAGCAGTGCTGGTGTGGAAATATGGGGTAGAGTGGATTTATGCCATTCTTTCCCCAGCTCCAGGGAAAAGTCCAGGGCAGCAGGGTCAGAGTTCATATCCTCTGAGACCAGAGGAAGAGCAAGGGAGGCAGATCTGGCAGTGGGATTGGATGGGAGAAGTGGTACCCAGGAGGCTCAAAGGTGTTGGAACACAAGCTGCTGACTTTATGTTGGTCACTGGGCATTGATAGAAGAGCTGCCTTGAATTTGGGGCTGGACTTCCTTTGTGTATTTTGTACAAGTTTGAGTCTCTTTTGTTCATTTGTAAAATTGTCAAATACGTTCCCTTTCTAACTAAAAGGTGATAAGGAAGCAAAAGAATGAGACTGCCTTCAAAAGTGAGTAGAATGAATACAAACACGAGGACTTTAAGGTTTGTATCACTGCTGGGGAGCCCTGCTGGTGCAATCTTTAAGCACTCAGCTGTTAACAGAAAGGTCAGTGACTCAAACACAGCAGCTGTTCCATGGGAGAAAGAGGTGACAGTTTTGTTTCCATAAAGATTACACCCTTGGAAACCCTATGGGGCAGTTCTACTCAGGACTATATGGATACTATGAATTGACTTGATGGCAATGGGTTAGGTTTTTGGCTCATTGTTGCTGGTGATTTTGGATTGTTAACAATATTCCACTTAATGGGGAGGTGCATTAGTATTGTCTGTGGAGTTTTTTTTTTTTTTGGAGGTACCCAAGTTGATTCTGATGTGTATATGGAGAAGTAAACTAGCATGGCTATTACAGTCCCAAAAGAGAAAATGACAAATGGGGTCAAAATCACCCAACTAGATATTAAGCTCTTTTATTTACAATTGTCGTATATGTGGTGTATGTGACTCATATGACATACCAGAGGACTTACCATGGAGATTAGAATAGCTGTCAATTCCTAAGGGAACATACATTTAGCTCAGGGTAACATTTCAAATCTGTAAGAGAAAGATGACTTATTCCACAAATGATACTGGGACAAAAGAGTAACCATCTAAAGAAAATAAAATTTTGGTTCATGACTCCCAACTTACATCAAGATAAATTCCAGATGGATCAATGTTTAAATGTGAAAACGGAAAGCATAACAAATTAGAAGAAAGCATAGAAAAATAACTTTATAACTTTGAAATGGAGAAGTCCTTTTTAAGATTTTCTAACAGAAAACATAAAAAGGATAAAAAATGTTGATTATATAAAAATAAAATAAACAAAGAGAAACGTAGACTTTTAAATGGTGGCATTTTATTGCATAAAGTTGATGAAAAACTGCAATGGAATATAATTTTCCCCATATAAATTTGAAAAAGGTAAAGCTTTTTAACATACCCGTTTTGCTGTGGGAGGCAGAATGGGTAGTAAGCATGCTGGGACAATGATCCTGCACTGTAGATTGCTTCCAATTCAGGCAGGGAAATGTACCAATATTTATCTACTAAAATCCCAAATGTGCACTCTCAGTGATCCAGCAAGCCCATACTGTCTGTGAAAACAAGGATTGGAAATAACCTACATGTTTATCAGTAAGGGAGTACGTAAATAAATTATGATGGATTCATATAGTGGAAGTTTTTTAATGGGGTGATGTAAGATTCTTTACAAAACATAGTTTTGTGAACAAAGCACTGTGCATAACAGTGTGTAGAGTATGAAAAATCTACTCTCTGACTATTTTGCACATCAATGACATATATCTGGCAGTAATGAATGCAAAGATGCTAGATGAGAGTAACTTTGGCTGTGATGTTTAAGTTTGTGTGTTTTGTTTGCAAGGCCATGCTTCCCAGTGTTTAGGTAGTTGTGTAATGATGTGACTTGTTGTGTTGTTGTTGTTATGTGCCGTCAAGTCAGACCCGACTCACTGCGACCCCTCCTTGGGTTTCCGAGGCAGTATCACTACGGAAGTAGATTGCCCCATCTTCCTTCTGAGGAGTGGCTGGTGGGTTTGAACTGCCAGCCTTCTAGTTAGCTGACTTAGCTGTTACATAACCTTATAATTTGACAGTTAGGTAATGATGTAATGATCCTCGATTTTGTGATTGGATGCCATCCTCCATTTTTGCATAACATTGATTTTCCCATAATGACCTTGTCTTTAGAACCTAATATCATTAAAGGAGGACTGAGTATACATATATGTGTTGCTGTTGTTGTGTGCCATCGAGTTGGACCCAACTCATAGCGACCCCTCCTTGGGTTTCCAAGGCAGTATCACTGTGGTAGTAGATTGCCTAACCTTCCTTCCAAGGAATGGCTAATGGGTTTGAACCCCTAGCCTTCTGATTAGCAGTCAAGTGCCTATAGGAACTATGCTACCACAGCTTATACACACACACACACACACACATACATATACATATACACATATATGCATAAACACATACACACACACAGAACTTCTGACATATTTGAGTTATGGTGAACCTCACAACAGTGCTTGTTTTACTACATACATTGTTGTAGCATGTAATTTTCTGGTGTTCACTCATAGACATTTATATGTAATGTTTGCAACCCCTAAAGACAACTAAAGATTGGATTTATGAAGATGCCAATCATAAAATATAACAATAATGAAAACTAAAAAAGAAAAAAAGTTGAAGTATTAGACTTATGTCAGAACTGATTTGCAATGAAGTCATTGTAATAGAACCTTGTCATAAGTCAGGGACCACATACCCTAAATCAATCACTAAGATAGTTCACAGTCTTTTCTTTGGTCCCACTCTTGACCCTCAACAAAGTGCATCAGATCACATTGGGAAGAGGAATTAGAATGTACATGGTGTAACACGAGAGGGGATTCTGATTTTCATCCCAAGTTAAAGTCACAATAATATTGATACTTACACTGAGAAAACTTTTGTATCTTGACAAGGAAACTATTTTCTCTCATGCAACACCAACAACACAACGCACTCCGATCAAGTTAGATCCGACACATAGCGACCCCTCCTGGGGTTTCTGAGACAGTATCACTACAGAAGTAGATTGCCCAACCTTCCTTCCGAGGAGTGGCTGGTGGGTTTGAACTGCCAGCCTTCTGGTTAGCAAATACCTTAGGGACTAAACCATCAGAGATCCTTCTTTTTACCTGATGTTCCATCTCCTAGGTCCCAGACTTCACTTTTGTATCTCTTTTCCCTGACAGGTAGAACGACCCCAAACATGGTGACTGTGAATGGAATTGATGTGGCCTCTACATTGCCCCAGCCCACCCACATCAACATCCACATCCACCAGCAATCAACATTGGTCCAACTTTTAAAGGCTGGGTGCTCCATGGTGTGTCAACTCTCTTACCCTCAGGACACTATCTCACCCAAAGCCAGGATGAACCATGGGCAACTGGCACTAGGGGTAAGCTTGGGCAGGAGAATCAGTGAACAAAATGACACAGAAGATGCAAACAAGAAACATAGGTTGAATCCCCATGAGGTGGGGCATGAGAACTCAGTACTCAACACTTTACTTTTCCAGAGAGGATTTAGGACCTTCCCTGACCCCATGGTTTAAGAGACAGTTTGGAAAAGAAGGGTTTGGAAGTTTTCCCCAGAGATTTGCATGAGAAGGAACTATCATCCTTTTCTTTTGGGCAAAGGAGTAGTCTAGCCAGGGGTGGGATGATGGGTAGGAGACTCTCTATAGACTGTTAATTCAGTTCAATTGAACCTGTGTGAGCTGAGGGTATGCAGTGTGCAAAGCAGTATGTTGGCACTTCAGGGTAAACTACAGTGAGAATCCCTAATTTATGGCCTAAAGTGCTCTCCTCTCATCAGAAAGGATCAAGTAGCCATGCCAATGACTGGAATTAAAGGTAGACTAGGTGACATGAGAGATAAGACATACAAAAGGCACTTTAAGAAGCTTCCTGGAGGAGTTGGCATCTGAGCCAAACCCTGAACAGAGAAGTGGGTTTGGATGGAGAAAGATGTAAGACTGAAGGAAAGAGCTCCAGGTTAAGAGGATGGTAGGACCAAAGGCCAAGAAGAGAGAAATCTGAGGGTTGGCTCTGCAATCCTAGCTCCCATGAGTCTTGCATGTGAAGAATATGAAAGGGAGTTATGACCAAAGAGACTGGAATGCAGACCAGGGACATACTCTCCAGGGCCAGGAAGTCAAGGGGACGTTTCTGTCTTGAGTCAGTTTCAGTGGTGGGAGCACTGTTTGTTGATTCTGAGCAGGAAGCTGGACTCTATGCTGTCTTGTAAAGGGGTATAGTTAAGAAGTACCCAGGGCCTGCACTTTTATGTGCAGGAAAGTCTGGGAAACCCATGATGTAGGAATGAATGGATTTGAGTAGAAGGGAAGAAACAAATCCGAAACCATGCCAAGATTTGGAGCTTGGCTGACCAGAAAAATGGAATTATGGAAGTCAGGAGAGGCAGACACAGGATTGGAAATGAAAGCCATATACTGCAGCTCAGACCTGATAAGGTCGCTGCCCACTCTGTGGGAAACTCCAGAGCAGAGTTCCCATTCTGCTTACCAGAAATCTGGCGGTTCAAACCCACCAGCCTTCCTCGGAAGGATGGTTGGGCAATCTACGTCTGTAGTGATACTGCCTCAAAAACCAAAGGAGGGGTCACTATGAGTTGGGTTTGACTCGATGGCACATAACAACAACAAACATTGGATAGAAATGGTCCTTGTGTCACTGTATGCTTAGCACTGGCTGAGGCCATCCTGAAAGAGTATGCTTTCAGCTTGAAAGAAGAGGAGGAAGCTGAAACAGATTTGGGTCTGTCACAGAAGCCCTCAGAATTACCTGTTTGTATCAAAAGAAAGGCTGTGGCCAGAACCTGAGATCAAGCTGACGGTTTGAATGGGATGATGGGAGTGTCAAGGGAATATGAAAAGAAAAGGTGAGAATTATCATGTGGACTGACCAAGTGTGGTTGTTGTTGTTATATGCCGTTGAGTGGGCCCCGACTCATAGCGACCCCTCCTTGGGTTTCCGAGGCGGTATCACTATGGAAGTAGGATTGCCCAACCTTCCTTCCGAGGAGTGGCTGGTGAGTTTGAACTGCCAGCCTTCTGGTTAGCAGTCAAGTGCCTTAGACACTATGCTACCAGAGCTCCTACCAAGTGTGGTAGTTGGAGAAATAATCAAAGGTAAACACCTAGGCACATAGGAGGGGTGAGAGGAGACAGGGTCAGTGTGACCTCATAGGTGTGAAGGAAACAGAACATATCAAAATCGGAAGATTTAGAGTGGTCCACAGATAAAGATAGTAGAGTCACCTTGGTCACAGCTTGGGCAGCTGGCCCTGGGATGTGTCAGTTCATGGGAAGGATCTGGATTATCATCTTGTCTTGAAGGTGACCCAGATACTGTTGGGGGTTGTGAGCTGTGCTCTTGGAGTTTTCCTCTACTTTGGGCCTCGGACCGAGCTGCATGCCTCAGGCTGTGCCTTCTGGGCTGGAACTGTGGTAAGCACAGAAGAGGCTGAATAGAGAGGCTGGGTGGAGGGAAGAGGCTAAGGCCAAGGAGAAAATTTCTTTGGATCTGGGCAAAGGGCTTGGGGAAGAAAACAAAGGCTTATGAAAAAAACTGCCTTAAGGTGTGGGTACAATCGTCCTCACTCATGATTTTTCTATTTATGGCAAGTTTGGGAAGGGTGGGGCCATTGTACCTGAAGTATTGTCCACGCAATAGGTTTTCTTGCCTGTCCCACAGATCTTGCTTTGAATGGGTTGTCCTAGGAATTTTCTTGGGGAAGGGTGATGGTAGATAATTTGAGGGATAGTAAATTGGAGGCATTTTCCTGGTGTTTTCTCTTCCCAGGCTATTGTGTCAGGAGCAGGGACCATTGCTCATGAGAAGAGCCAAAGCCGACTTTCAGTGAGTCCTGAGGACATTTCTGTCCACTGCCTTCTTCATCTCCCCCCTCATATATTTCTGTCTTTCTACCTATATTTTCCCTCTCTCTTATCTTTTGGTTCCCAATATCATGAAGTCCATTGTGAAAGGCTAGGAAAGTTTCCTAAGACAGAGCGGAGAAGAGGAGACAGGCTGAGGATAGAACTTGTTTCTCTCCCATCAACAGAGGGTTTGCATCTTGAACCTCTCTCTTGTAGGCCTATGTGTCAGGTCTGCTCACCTTAGCTGGCATCACCACGGTCCTGGTAGCTGTTGTTTTCTGTGTGAATAGTTTAAAGGTGCAAACAAATGGCTTCTTCTACATTGGCTCAGTGTGTTACCGCCCCACCATTGACGGTACAACCAGTGGATACACATGGATGAGGAGAAGCAAGAGTGACTCGAAATGGAGGGAGAATCAATGCAAGTCCTACATGCAGATGCTGATGGTGAGAAAAAAGTTCAGTCTCCAAGGACCCACCACAAGGAACTGCAGTACATTGGAGACCAGAGATGAGAGCTCATAGAGCTTGGGCCCAATCCTATGTTTGTGATTCAGGATGTTTTAATTGAATCTTGAGAAATTTCTAAAAGCTGTGTAACAAGAAGCTTCCCTAAAGCAAAATGGGAGAAAAAAAAATGGAGTCATTTAAAAAAGAGATTGTGGGCCACCTTTCTGATTTTTTCTGGTGTGGGTGTGCTCCAGTTACCTACCACTGCATAACAAATGACTCAAAACATACACTACAGTGTATTGTCATCTCTCTCAGTTCTGTGGGCTGACTGGGCTCAGATTGGCACTTCCTACCTGGGTTCTCTTACTCACGCTGTTGCAGTAAGGTGTTGGGGCTTGTCATCTGAAGGATCACCTAAATTGGACAACCAAGACTTCCTCATGTGGCTTGTATCTGATGCCAGCTGTTGGCTCAGAGTGCAGCTGGGCTGCCTTCCAGAGCACCTTTAGTGGCTTGGGCTTCTCATAGCACAGCAACTAGGTCCCAACAGACAGTATCTCAATTGTGAGCATTTTAAGAGGTAGTAAACCGAAGTTAAATACTACCCTGTAATTGGCATAGTGCTACTGTCAGTGTATTTTATTGGTCATAGAAGTCATAGGGTCCATCCAGAGTTTAGAGAATGGAGAGAGATCCTCTACCTCTTTGTACAGAGTGGCAATGGGATATTACAGACAAACAAAATGGGTGAGAGACATGGCTTCCAAATGATTAGATACTACAATCTGCCTTGGTGAGAAGTAACTAGATGGACAGTCTGATACCTGGGTGGGTTGATGAGGTGGTGGTAAGAGCAGTATTGGAGGATGGGACTCTTGGCTATGTCGTTTCCCCTTTTTTCTTTTTCAGAACTTATTCCTAGGAATCCGTATTCTGTTCCTGGCTGTCTGTGTCCTGCAGGCTATTGTGTCCTTGACTTTCCTGGGCATTGGTTTTCGAAGTTTGTGTAGCCAGAGCTCCCAGCCCCTGGTGAGTTGTCATGGACGCACTGCTGAAGAAACGTGGATTGGGCTGGTAATGCTCTGGGGATGGGAGGACATTTGAGTCGGGGACACTGTTGGTAGGAGGTCATGCTCTACCTTTCTCAGCTTCTCAGCACTTGACTCTTGCCTTTGTTATCTGATAAATGTAACCCCGTCACTGTGTCCTGATCCTCTACTGGCCACCTTTACTCAATTTTCCCCATTCCCTGCCCTCTGTCCCATATATTTGTCCAGATTTCCTTCCTTGGTCACCTTATCTTTTTGCTTGATCCCCATTTACTGTCAGCTTTTCCTTTTCCTTCTTTCATTTTTCTGAAATAATTTTCTAAGTTATATGAAGTTAGCTCCTCCCTGATTTTTTTTTTTTTTTTTTTGCCTAAGAATTGATTTTTTTTCCATTTTTTTCTCTCAGTCTGAGGAAGGACCAAAGAAGAAGTTATTGTGTGAGATTTCTGTGCCTTCTCCCCCTCAGGAAAAACCCTTCATGGATTGAAGGAAAGCTTCCATCATCCAGTGAGCTACCAGGACCTGAATTTCCCTTCCTGAGCAGGCCAGGCCTGTGAGGAGGACTGTCTTGCTCTCCCAGAATCCCTCATTGGCCTGTTCCTTAAGCTCAGTTTTTCTTTTGGCCACTGTACAGCCTTGCCTCCTTCTTTCTTGCCTTATCACCCTCTTACCCACTATGCCCATTCCAGTGTTCTCAGTTCAATAAACATATATCGTCTCATTTTCTCTAACCAAAATTTAAAAGAAACAACTAAGGCAAATAATCTTAAATAGAAATAATATGATCTCTCTCTATCTCTCTTTTTATGAGGTGATATGCTGTGGACAGCCTTTGTGTAATATGTATGAAATTAAACCAAAGGATTTTTATCACACAGGAATGAGATCTCTATCATATTAAATTTACTTTTGTTTTGCTTTCTCATACAAGTGACAAAATTCCTTTTTATGATTTCCTTCCAGTTAAAATAACTCTAATGTGCTCAATATTTTTACCGATTAAGATTGTTTCTAATAATTTTCAGCTATAACCTATAGGCTTTAAAGAATTATGAAAAGTCATGGAAGGGTTTTTCCTTCCTCCCTCCTTTCCTTCTTTATTCTTTTGCAATAATTAGTGTTGTCTCTCTCAATCTGTCTCTCTTTCTGTCTGTCCACAGAAACATGTTGGGTGTCATAGAGTTGGTTCTGGGTCTTAGTGACCTTATGTGAAACAGAACCAAACAAAGTCAAGTTCTATGCTATTCTCACAATTGTTCTTATGTTTGAGACCATCATCGCAACCACTGTGTCAATCCATCCTGTTGAGTGTCTTCCCCTTTTTTTGCTAACCTCTAATTTACCAAGCATGGTATCTTTCTCCATAGATTAGTCCCTTCTGACAACATGGCCAAAATACAAGAGATGAAGTCTGGCCATTCTTGCTTCTAAGAAGTATTCTCAATGTACTATTTCCAAGAGAGATTTCTTTGTTCTTCTGGCAGCCTATGGTACATTCAATATCCTTTCCCAATACCACAATTCAAATGTATCAATTCCTCTGCAACCTTTTTTATTCATTGTACAGCTTTCACATGAATATAAGACCATTGAAAATACTATGGCTTGAGTCAGACAACTTAGTCTTCAAAGTGACATCTTTGCACTTAGACACTTCAAAGAGGTCTTTTGCAGCAGATTTTCCCAGTGCAGTACATTATATGATTTGTTGACTGTTACTTTCATGGGCATTGATTAGGGATCCATGTAAAGTGAAATTCTTGACAACTTCAGTCTTTTCTCCATCTATCATGATGATGATTATTGGTTTAGTTGTGAGGATTTTGGTTTTCTTTATGTTGAGGGGCAATCTATACTGAAGGCTTTATGTGTCATCTTCATCAAAAAGTGCTTCAAGTTTTCTTCACAAGGAAGGTTGTGTCATCTGCATATCATAGATTGTTAATGAATCTTCTTCCAATCCTACATACACTCACACACTTATTGTTCTTCATTTTCATTATA